ATCCACGTCGGAGGGCCCCTGGGTGAAGATGAGCCATTGAGCGCCGCTCCTGCGGCGCCGAGCAGGACTCTTTCAAATGCCGTCTCGGGCCACCCCATGCCGGTAGCCTCCGTGCTCCAGCAAGCCTGCCAAGGCGAAGGGGAGGTCGTGGAGTCTCGGCGGGGGCGTCGGGCGGGTGGCCCACCGCGTGCCTGGCGCTGAAGCAACTCGCTGAGATGCGGTCCTTCCATCGGGGCTGTCCTGCAAACCTCGCTCGAACACGTGCTGTGTAGATGGCGCGGGCCGGGTGGAAGTTCACCGCGCTCGCGACCGCGTCGAGGCCGCCGCGGAACCAGCACAGACGACCGGGATGTCGGAGAGCGCGAGGCACCCGAACTGCGGGGACTCGCACTGCAAGGTCGCCCATGGCCCGGACCACGAGGTCGATGTAGTGGACGGCGACCCGCTGGCGCATCGGGGAGTCCATCAGCGCCTCCATGAAGGCCAACGCTCGGATGAGGATCCCAGCCAAACGAGCGCGGTCTCCTCCAGGTCGCGGTAGTGGGGCGGGCTTGGCCGCCATGTGCGCCAGCAGCAGTGCAGCGCGCGCGCGCAGCGGCCCTTGTTGACCCGCGCGATGGTTCCACTGTAAGTCAGTGCCACGTGGCGTGCAGCGCGGCCCCCCCCAGGGCGCCAAGGAAAAACGCTTCTTCGATAGTCGGGTCCTCCGTGTGGTGCTGGGAGACATGCTGCCGTAGTCTGTCACCCAGTCGTCGGCGCGGGGCCCGCGCTCAGCGGGGGCCCGTCGCCGCAGGCGCCGCGGGATGCGCAGGGGGGCCAGGACATCGAGGCCCTTCCTGATGCATGCTGCCTCGGCTTACCTGGCGTTGGCCGACGGCTGCCTCTGCGCCGTCGCCTGCTTCTCAAAGTAGAACGCTGCTCGCTCAGTGCCCAGCGCCAGCAGGGGTAAGAAGAACAAGGCTCCCAAACGCTGTCTGAACTGCTGGCAACGCGGGCGGCAGCCAGGCCGCGTGCGCGGGGAGAGCAGGGCGCGGATGTGCCCCGCGATGTGGCCGTGCACGCCTGGGAGCCCTGCTGAGCGGAACACTGCCTCGCCAACGTAGTCGTAAGCCCCCGTCGCCAGTAGGTTTACCGTGGCTGTGTAGTCCGTTGGGATGCCCAACGCAACTCCGAATGCAATCGGTATCATCGGGTGATGCCGATCTCGCAAGGCATCCGTCCACTCACGTGCAACATAAAGTAACACTCGCCACACCCACAGCGGCTACCACGCACCATGTATCGTCGAAGCTGTAGTGCACCGCTGTACACCAGCAGGAACAACATGACGGGCCACAAATGGGAGCCCTAAAGCGGGCGGCGGCCCACTGAAGTCAGCGCCAGCACTATATCGATTAAGAGAGAACGTGATGCGCGCGCATGGGCCATCGCATGATGGTGGCATCGTCGATACCAAAGCCAGGCCAACAAAATGATGACGGGCCTGACCCTGGGGTACGTAGGCGGCGCGAGGTCGAGCAAACGCCAGT